GCTGCTGCTGCTGCTGCTGCTGTTGCTGCTGTTGCTGCAGGGACTTCAGGTAGGCATGCTCCTGCTGGAGCTGCCGCTGCAGGCGCTCGGACTGCCGCTGCTCCTCCAACTGCTTCCGCTTGTACTCCTGCAGTGGAGCACCAAGAGGCGGCTGGGAGAGCTGCCATCCCCTACAGTGGGCAACCCCCTCCAAGGCCTCCCTCCTCCCCCTTTACCAGCAGCAGGGCTTGTTCCTGCAGAAGCTGCTGCTGGAGGATCTCCAGCTGCCTCTGCTCTTCCTCTAGCTTGTGCCTGATATACTCCTGGGGGGCAGGGGGAGAAAGAGGGGACAGAGCGACAAGTGAGGAGGGGGAGCAGCAGCCCAGCAGAACCACATCCCAAGCAGCAGAGAGGTGGCGGCAGTGGCAGCTCCAGGCCCCCCACCTAGCCTCGCCCAGGAAAGCAAGAAGGCCCCACCGGGAGCCTGGCTGATTCCCGCAGAAGCGCCCCCGGCCTCCCCACCTGCTCCCGCTCCGCCTGCCGACGCTCCTCTTCCCGGCGCATCACTTGCAAGTCCTCCAGGCGCCGCTGGTGCTCCTTCCCCTGCAGCTTCCGCTGTTCTCGCTCTCGGCGCTGCTGCTGCGGCAGAGGCAGAGGAGAAAGCATCGCGGCTTGAACAGGCTGGGAGGGCCGGCTGGGCTCCCGAGGCCACTGGGGCCCAGTCCCGGTGGGCGGGACTGCAAGCGAGGCACCCAGGAGACCAGCAGAGCCAAAGCCCCCCTCACCCACCTCCTCGACTCGCCGCCTCTCCTCCTTCTGCTCTTCGATGCGCCGCTGGCGCTGGTGCAGCAGGTGCTTGATGTGGGCCTCGGAGTCACGGTGCTGGGCCGCCAGCTGCTGCTGCAGCTTCAAGGCTTCGGAGTTGCTCTTGTTCTCCTGCTGCAGCCGAAGGAACTCCCTCCGCAGCGTGGACTCACCGGGGACGTTCATGATGGAGCTGGAGGAGGAGGAGGAGGAGGAGGAGGAGGAGAAGGGGGGCTCAGCAGGCCGCCGGAGCACTGAGCAGAATGCCCGGCGTCCCTTCTCCACGGGCGGATGGAGTGGAGCAGATCCCGGCTCCTCTGCCCTCTGCACCTGGGCTCTCCTTCCTCGCCACGCCCATCGTCCTCTTCTTCGCTGCCGCTGTATTCGTACTCCGTCTCATCTGCCGGAGGGAACAGCGAAAGGCCCAATCAGCGCAGGGCAGAAGCTGGACCGCGTTCCCCATCCCGGGGGTGGGGGGCTGCCCCGCCGCACGCACCTTTCTCCCCCCTCTTCTTGCGGGTGCGGTCAATGTGGTCCTTGAGCTGGATGCGGACCTGCCGCTCGGTGGGCTGGTCTCTGATGAAAGGGAACTTGAGCAGCTGCTCGGTGGGGGGGCGGCTGGGGTAGGCTTTGATCAGGCAGTTGTCGATGAAGTCGATGAACTTCTTGGACCTGCTCCCGAGGCGGTGGAACAGGCGACGGTTACCGAGGCGCTCCTCCCCACTGTGCCCCACGCACCAGTCCCATCACTGGGCCACAAGCAGGGAGGCCGGCATCCAGCCCAGCCCCCTGGCCCACCCAGGCTGTATCTCCCCGGCCCTTCCTGGAAGCGCAGGGAGCAAGAGGGGCGGCCCTGTTTGGACTCGTGGTCTTGGCCGATCCTGCAACGACACAGCCCCAGGAAAGGCTCCCTGCCATGCATCCCCCCTCACACCCTGGGGAGGAAACCAGCGGCTTCCATCTTGGTCAAGGCTGAGGATTCCTCGCGGCACTCCCGTCCCACGCCGACTTCTCACTGACCCGCAGGGAACGCGTACCATTTCTTGGACTTCAGCTTGGGTGGCGGATTGCGAGGGATCAGAAAGAGAGCACGCATGGGATGCATGTCACACAGGGCTGCAACCGGCGAGAGGAGGAGAGGTGAGCAGCGCAGCACCGTGGCTGGCGGGCCCCCTCCCTTCCCAGAGATGCGCTTGCCCCCAGATGCTGCTGCTGCTGCAGACACTCACGTGGAGCTCCTTCCGCCATCCCGATGGCAGTGATCCCCAGGGACCAGATGTCGCTCTGCGGGGGGGGGGAGGGAGATTGCTGCCAACCAACCCAGGGCCCAGCCAGACACGCCTCAGCCCTGCACCAGCTATCCCTCTCCTCCTAGGCCTCCTCGCTCGCTCGCCCCCCACCCCGGCCTGTCTACAGTCAAGACAACCCGCCCCGCAGGTTTTCTCCAGACCTACTCGGTAGTCGTAAGTGGCATCGGGGTTTTCGTCGCAGGCGATCACCTCTGGCGCCATCCAGTAAGGTGTACCGATGAACGTGTTCCGACGCCCCACCGTGCGGTCTAGCTGGGCACTGACTCCAAAGTCAACTGTAGAGAGCGCAAGAGCAGCTTGATCAGCTGGCTGGCAACCAGGACACTAAGGCCAGGGAAGGTGGGGCTGCGGGATTGTTTGTGAAGCTCTTGAAGTGGCGGGGGCCTGCGGGTGGAGGTGGGCCACACTGACAAGCTACAGCTCCCGGCGAGCTGTCTGGCAGCGGCTCCCTGTGTGCTTTGGGGTCTCCTCCTGAGGCCAGCAGAGGAGCTCCGAAGGTTTCCTCCACGCACTGGGAAAGGCTCTGGTGCCGCTCGTGGGTTCATAGCCTCCGTGGCCCTGACTGTACAGGCAGCCCCATGTGTGAATTGGGTTTTTACTTTGGAGCAGATGAGACCCGATCTGAAAACAGAGAATGTTATCATCTGCTCCCTGCCACGATCAGATGACTTCCCTGACCGACCCTGGGCCTCTGCAAGGGTGGTGGATCCTGGAGTGGTCTGCCCCAGGTTCCTCAGGGATCCAGAGGGTCTCCAGAGAGCGCCTGGCAGCATCCTGCCAATCGGCAGTAAGTTCTGTCTCACACCCAGCGGGAATCAGAAGCGCCCAGACCAATGAATGAATTTGCTCCAGTGAGGCCTCCACCCAAGCAGCTCGTGGGTTTACTGGGAGCCGAGGGAAACAAAGTAAGTTAGAAAAACGCCTGAAGCGACAGCAGCAAAAACCCCAAAGTAGGTGCAATCAGGAACCGGAAAGAGTTCAGGTCTGCTCTGCTTCTCCTCTGTGCTTGCTGCACCCGCAGATTCCCAGCTGGCAGCCCCGGTCAGAGCAACCCAGCTCCTTTGGGAAACTCCTGCTGCTCGTATTCGTCTGGCTCAGGTGCCAGTTAGGCAGGGCCCCCTGCAGCAAGCAAGACGTCCTCCGGGGCTGCCACCCAGGATCCTTTTGATCTTCCACTGTCTGAATTCCACCACCTGCAGACCCTCCTGCTTCTTTGGAAGGGGGAACAGCTGGCTCCAGGAGACAGTTAATGGCTCTTCAAGAGGCCCTCTCTGGACCTGGCTGTTTTTGTCAACTTTAGCCCAGGGTCCAGCCTCTCCATCATGCAAGTGGTGGCAAATTGACCAATGAGAGACTCCTAGATGGAACACATCTAGATGCAAGCCTGGTTAAGGGGCAAAAATGGCCCTGGTCCCTCTGGTCAGTGACCCCAGGGGAACCTAGAGGGGTGGTGTGTGCCCCTTTGGGCCTTGCCGCTCTCACACAGCATTGGATACCATCAACCACAGTATCCTTCCAGGCCACTTGCAGGAGTTGGGGGTTGAGGCCTTGGGAATTCCAATGCGGGCTCCTCAGAATAGCTGAGCAAGATACCTCAGTAAGCTGATGACACCCGATTGCACACTGCTGTCTTAGGCTGAGCCAGAGACGTCACCCAACTCCTGAGTGGCTGCTTGGAGGCAGCAAGCATCCAGACAGTGCTACGTGATCCAAGCACAGATGAACTTCCACCAGGATGGTGTTGCTCGTGGTCAGTAATCATTAGCACCACCCAGTGACATCAGTTCTGGTAGTTACTTGGGACAAGTGACCTCCTCGGAAGGAGTGGGTTGGGGCCCTGGGAGTTTTCTGGCTCGTGGCTCCTACTTAAGGGACAGGCAGAAGCTCTGGCTCGGGGAGCCTCCCCCAGCTTCAGCTGATGTGCCAGTGGGATCAAGATCCCTGGTGATGACCGCTCACACCTTGGTCATCCCCGGATGGATGACTGCCATACACTCCCTGTGGGGCTCCCTTGGGGAAATACCCAGAAGGTTCAGCGGCTGGGCTCCTGACAGGACGCTCCCATGGGGCAGAGCAATACCTATTCGGAAGCCCCTGCACTGGTTGCCGGGGGCTTTCCGGCCCCCTTCAAATGCTGGTGATTGCTTTACGCCCTTCACAGCACAGCAAGAAAACACACTGGGTGATGCCTTGTGAAACTGAATCTCGTCTGGTCGTTGAGAGGGGACCTGCTGCAGATCCCCCCTCCTTGCGAAATACATGGGGCGGGGCAGGGGCGGGGTGAGAGGCCTTCCCAGTGGTGCTCCCCAACCCTCCCTCCCAAAGGGATGGCCTACCCCCCACTTTGCTGGCGCTTTGACAGCTAGCCCAAGTAGCGCTGTCCCGGCAGTCCCTTCGGGGAGGCCCACTTCTTGGTGCTCCCGAGGACCGTGGGCTGGGCCCCCGGATAGCAAAGCGGCCCTCACGTACCCAGCTTCACCTCAGCGTTTTCAGTGAGAAGCACATTCTGCCCCTTGATGTCTCGGTGGATCACTTTGTGCGCGTGGAGATGAGCCAGTCCCTGGCGGGGAGCAAGATGGGAGCAATCACGACTTGCGCAGGTGGGGGAGGCGGCTGGGAGGGCCAGCCGTGACAAGCCTTCCCTGACAACGGGATCCTTCAGCCCCAGGAAGCAGCAGGGTGTCCCCTCACGCACCGGCCCCTTCTGGCCTCTGCCCAGCCACAGCCCTTACCCGGAGGATCTCTCGGCAGATGTAGGCAATGCAGTCTTCCTTCAGGGCGTTGCCCTTGGTGTTCTTCACCAGATCCGTCACAGAGCCGGCACCACAGAACTCCATCACAAGCTGGGGAAAAGTGAGGGGGGGAGGTCATGGCTGCGATGCAGCAGCTTGGTTATCCTGCTAGTTGCTCTCAGGGATCCCTACTCGCCTCACCCAGAGCTGGTCATCGTTCCCAGGGGGGCTCTTCTTAACAAATGCCCCATAGTAGGTCGCGATGTTGCGATGGTGGGAGTATTTCTTCAGCATGTTGATCTCCTGCTTAATCTCCTCTTCTTCATCCTTTTACAGAGGGGAGGCTGGGTCAGATGGGATCGCGCCCCCCTTTCCCTCCCCTCGGAACTCCCTCCAGAACAGAACTGGCCTGCTGGACGCCAGGACAGCCACCCTTCGACCTGGGCATGGCAACCCGTCCTCCTCCCCCCTCCCCTGGAGCCCCCTGGCTGGCTCAGGACCTGCCCCGCCTGCCCCCTTGCGTCAGAGAGCATACCTCGGTGACATCCATGACTTTGATGGCAGCCAACTGCCCTGTCTTGACATGGCGGCCCTGGCAGAAGAGAGGATCAGCTCAGCTGGCGAATGCCCTGGTGTCCCTTGCTCCCAGCTGAGAGGCTTCCCCAGAAGAGGCCTATCCAACCCTCACTCCCCTGACCAAACTGGAAAACTGGGCCCGGCCTGGAAGCACTCTAGCCTTGGAAAAAGTGTTCCTCTGCCTGTGTTGGGGGGTTCTGCTGCCCCCTGCTCTGGCGTAAACCTGCCTTCTTCCTGTGGGGCCTCTGTGTTCTCCAGGGCCAGACCCAGCCGGCTTCCCACACCCAGGCCTGGAAAGCCACCCCGCTCTGCTGGCGTGCTTAGCCAACCATGTTGTTGCTGCTGCTCCAGGCAGGCACAGGACTTGACACAATGGGACCCAGAAGGCTTTGAGAGTCCCTTTCCTACAAAAGGCTCCTCCTTTCAGCCCCCCCCCCCACCATCGCCCTGCTCCTTTCTCTGCCTGGCCTCAATGAGCTGCAGCTGGCTTGAAACCCTGTTCTTCCTTCTGCCCACCCCAAAGGGAGGGTAAACTGCTTTTGGCTCTGGCAAGATAGGGTAGACACCCCACAGCACTGAGTCAAGAGGGAGTCTGCCACTCTTTGGAGGCACCCGCTGCGCTCTGAGATCCTCGTGCCAGCAGAGGGAGCCAAGGACGCATCGTGGCCTCATTCTCCTGCCCCATCCCACCCTCCTCTGCCGAACCAAGATGGCCCACCCCAATCTGGGACTTGGCTCTGCCTCTCCTGGGTCAGCTGCCTCCTTGCCTGCCAGGGACCAAAGGGAAGGATGGAGAGGCAACGAAAGGGGTTGGAAGAGGGCTCTCCTTCCCTTGGTTGGCCAGCTGGCTGGGGCATTGCTGGGGGAAGATGGAAAGAGGTCGGCAGGCACCCTTGAGCTCGCTCCCCCTGCCCACTTGGTTCTCACGGCCAGTCGGGATAGCCAGCCTGGAGTCCTCGGATGAGTGGGGTTCAAAGCTAGTGCCCCGGTTCACTGCTGTCCTTGAGCACTGCCCCATTTCTGGGTGCCCTGAGGGACCCCCTGCTCTAAATGCCCCAAAGCTGAGCCAGGATAAACGCCACAGAGGAACGCCGGAAGGGCCCAGCGTGCTGGGTGGGGTAACCAACAAGGCTGCCTCCTCCTGAGATGCTCGGAGGGCTGGATTGGAGGGCTAGGCCAGACGGAGCCAATGCTCCCTGCAGCCTTTCCCCCTTCTAGCTAGGGGGCAGGGGGAGGATTGGTCTGAACCCTTGAAGAAAACTGAGCCCCAGCCAAACATCCAGGCTCTCATCTGCACCCCCTTTTGCAGCCAGGCACCCTCAACTCAGCTGCCCAGGAAGCATGACCCTCACTGTGGAAAGGGGGCCAAGCCCCTCCCCTTCAACTCAGCACCGCTGGGCAGCCTCACTCCCTCTCTGCATCCTCCCAGTTGTGCCCACTGCTGCAGGAGGAGGAGGAGGAAAGAGCCACAAGGCGATTTTCAAGAGCCCCCCTGCCCTCAACCATGTGTTGGCATTGTCTTCTCTGCCACGCAACCTGGCGTGGGCAGCTGTTGCTTGGCAACCACCTTCCACTTCCTTTCAAGGGGGACCAGGGCTGAAAAGGCCCCCTCCCTCCCCTGAAGTGTGAACAGAATGATCTGGTACACCTCCTCCCTCGGCGCTGTGCCTCCCTGGCATGGAAGAGGGGGAGGAAGGAAGGAAGGAATGGCTGCAGCCACTCACAGACCACCCTGTTCTTTTTGCAAAAGTTCTCCACGGAGCCTCTCCCCTCCTCTTCCCATCCCAGACAAACTGGCAGAAGGGCTGGGGGCAGACCCCTTCTCACGAGGCAAAGGTTCCCTGGCCTCTTTAGTGATCAGGACTGACTTGCTCCTCTTAGTGGCCATATTTCCAGCAAGGCTGGGACTGGAATGAAGGAAGGACAAACCACGAAAGGTCTTCTGCCAGAAGGCAGGAGAACCTGCTTCCGATGCGGGCGTGGCTTGGACAGGTGAGGGGTGTTGGCAAAAAGAAAATCAATCCCGCAACAGAGGAGGAGAGGACCCGTCCCCACAATATTTGACCATGAACTGCTCAGCCAAGGCTAAGGGTAGAAAACTGAGGATTCGTAGGGTGACTTCTCTGGAAATGTATCTGCCTCCCCTCTCAGTGAGATGTTGGACTGTGCAGGGGAGGGAGGACAGCTGTTTGCCCAGACCGATGGGACCCCTGCAAGTGAGCCAGTGAGGACCAAGGGGGCAGGTGGCAGTGTGAACAGCATGCAAAGGCCAAGACTGTCTCCTCGGCCCCTACTCAGAGAGTATCAACAGCCACAGGAGCTCCAGGCTCCTTTGCTTCTGCCTCCTCCACCCCCGGTCACCCCCTCGATGTTGTGTCTATCAAGACCTTCTTGCATCATGGGGGAAACTGGGAGGAGGGAAAGAGCCTGCTCCTTCTGGCTGCTCAAAGGGTTGGAGCATCTATGCTGGAAAGAGAGGTAAGGCTCCAGAAATGCATGTGTGTGTGTGCACGCACGCCTACAGACGAGAAAGACACCCGTGACCTTCCAAAGAGATCCCAACCAAGCTGGCTGGGCTCAGAGCTGCCCGGAGCCCAGGCTCCCTGGAGAGGGGAACGCCACCCACCTTTCAGCAGACCTCCCGTCCCACAAGGCAGGCTCAGAGCAGGCGGCTAAGCGGAACATCTGACCACAAGAAGGCCCTGAAGCTGGGTGTGGCTGAAGGCCAGCCCGGCCCAGTTCTTGCTTCTTGCAGGAACCACCTGGGGTCCCAGCGAGGCCAAGAGCAGCAAAGGAAGGGGACAGCCCACCACACAGAAGAGCCTTTCAGCCACGGGGGCTAGCCAGTGCTCTCCGCATCGCAAAGCTCCTGAAAGGCGTAGCCTTCACGCAGGGCCGCCTACCAAATGAACTCAGGAAGCAGAGAGCTTAGTCGTAGGCCTCCCCCACCAGGAAAGGTGGGGCACAAATCAATATCTGTATCAGACCTTTAGTCAGGATGATTAAGCAATGGCCCTGTTGAGGAAGGAGCTTAGTGCTACCCCGCCCCCCAGTCACTCACCTTGTAGACCTGCCCATAAGTCCCATTGCCAACCACTTCCACCAGTTCAAATATGCCGGCAGGATCCTGCAGAGGAAAGAGGTGGTGGTTAGACCTGCTGTGAACAGGAATAAATCTGGCCGCTGGCAGGAGGACAAAGGATGCCCCCTTCCCACCAAGGCCTCAGCCAACACGGGCCTGGCCCTGCCTGAGGTGGAGGCTGGATTCGTACCATACTAGGCAAGGGGAAGGACCGCTGCTAAGCCCCAGAATGCCCAGTGGGCTGGCCTGGGTCCTCTTGAGGTTCCCCACCTAAGGAAGCTGCAGTGGTGCTCAGAGCTTACAAAGACATGGGGACCAGCGTGTGGCATCTAGTGTATCAGGGGTGTATGGCGTGCAAAACTGCTATGAAAACCTAAATAGCTTCACAGGGTCTTGCATGTCCGGTCTCCTGCTGGCAGGCCTAGCTAGTTCTTGCACGCTCCCCCGGTCCATATGCACAGAGAGGCCCATCTGCTGGTGCAGATCTGCACTGCCCTTCAGGCCTGGCAGCTTCCCACGAGGGGCCATTGTACCCGAGCCACAGCAAGGAAGGCCACTCCAGGATGGGAAGAGAAGATGGGTTGGGCCTTCCACTCCAGAGGAACACACCGAGGAGGAACTGCTGTGCAGCCCTGGTGCCAAAGACAGGGGTGGCCCCGGAGAGGATGGCTGCCTTCTGTTGATGACCTTTCCTGAAGCAGCAGGGTGGCTGCAGTCCCACAACTAGTTCTGTGTAGGGCACCTCCTCCCCCATGGGAGCAATCCAGCTAGAAGAGCCCCCTGAGGTCAAAGGACCCCACTTCCTGCTCCATTTGGGGATCCAGATGAGAGCACTCCCTCGGGTAACTTTCTAACCTCTGCTTGAGAACAGCTGGGGAAGGGGCCCGGCAGGGTTGTCAGCTCACTTGGGCACTGCCCTCACTGTTTTCTGGTTTCCTGTGACCCCGATTCGTCTTTGTCTTCTGCTGTATCTCGGTCACATTTTCTCAGGGCTATGCACCTCTGATCCTCCACACAGCTGCCCCAGTTTTTCCCGATTCTTTCTTGGTCCCTTGCAGAACTGGGATCCTAACGGCCCTCTACAGCGCTCCGCCTAAAATCTAGGGTAACAGCCGCCTCTGCTGGTGGGCCAGATCCCTCAGGACCAGTATTAATAGCTTCTCATTAGGGCAAGGAGGCGGGTGGGCTGGGCACAGCTGGGCAGGGCTGTGCTGTGCTGGGAAGGCCCAGGCAGCCCCCACCCGAATCCAGGAAAGGCCTCTCTAAAGCTCCCTGAAAAGGTGGGGCGAGACCAAGCCTCTTGCAGCAAGGCTGCGGAGTTGGCAGGCTGGAAAGGAAAGCCTCCATA